TATAATCATACTCACCTCCACATCCTTCGTTTTTAAAGCCATTACGTGGGGTTTTATTATCAGGACAACACTCAAATGGTGCAAATGTCTTGTTCGAACAATCTTTATTAGGAAAGAAAAAATAAACTTAACCTAACCCGAACCTTTAAATGATAATCTAAAATAAACACTTATAATCTCGATCTTTGAAAATACTTCTTTTTTCGATCATTATGATAATATATTTTAGGTATACAACATAAATGATTTTTAAAAATACCACATGAATGACATTGAGATTATGAGATAGCGTTAAACTTTTCATACTTTTTAGTGACTAAAAGAGGTATTTTGTATTTAAATTTTCTTTGGACTGAGACAAAATTATAATAGCCGACATGGTGAAAAGCAGTTTCTCTGTGCAAACTCTGTAAGTTTTTGCCACTTTAAAGCACTAAAAGGTGGTCAGCAAAAGTTTGGCAAACGCATGAATTTTTCTCCGAAGCAATTGTTTGATATGTAATTTTTGAAAAGGGGTGTAGTTGTATGTTATAAATCAGGTTAGAATACCAATGCGTCATGTTTATCACCAAGGTCTTATAACAAGTATGACAGACACACCACTATTTTACCACACATGTGTGGCTGATTAGAGTGCGTCAATAACAGGACATGCAACTCAAAAGCATGCGCAATTTGTTAAATATATGTATAAAAGCAAAGAATAGCTTACCATCCAAGACTTGAGGCATTTTTTCAGAATCTTGAAGGTGGGAAGTATCTTCTAGCGCTCTTAACAGCTCATCAAATCTGAGATTGTAGACTGAGTTTCCTGATAGATAATAGGTATCACAATAAAAGCCGCACCCCATGGTCTATGTTATATAGATAAATCATCTTCCCTGCTCTTTCTCACGCCGTCACTTGGACGTTTCGGGGTAACGCGACATTAGCTAAAATCAAGAGTTGACCGAATGGACAACATTTTTTTTGCATACTTTGAACTCGACTTCGCCTCGCCAAAAATGAGATTCTCAGGAAACAAAAACCTGTTATTGGCAACCAGATTTGATTTATTTCCTAGTTTAGATAAAAAAACATCCATATAAACAAGTGGATGTGACTAGTAAGATAAAGGAAAGGAATTAATTATTTGTTGAGATACTTTTCGTTCTTACCAGAGCAAATGGCCAAGAAAGCAATAGCAATGACCACGATAGCCTTCATACTTGATTTGTTCTGTTACATTAAATGGATACAGCCGACTAGCGAGACTTGCAGTGACTCCTTACACCGTACATCAGTCTTATATAACCAGAGAAAACCATATGTTTTGGTATTAACATCAAATTGGATCATCTGTATACGTCTTGCAATACCTTGTAACAAAACCAAAACCAATTATATTATTTTTCATAACCCCGCACACTTGGATTACTATCGATTTGCAGCGTGCGGTTATGGAGCTGTGCGGTAATAGGAGGCGCGGATAATAAGCGGTGGGCTGTTAATGAAAGGTTAGAAAGATAGCCGTAATGCACCTTGAAATAGCTAGTGTTATCAATTTTCTAGATTCGAATCGAATTTATAATAAGAACTTTTTAAAAAGTCTCCTTCACGGTTCCCTGCGCACTCGAAAGCCGCTCAATTACTTCGAAGTGTTTCAATCATTCTAAGATACCTAGCTGTTGTTTTTCCAGTATTTAGACTCTGCCATACCACACCGGCAGTCAAAAAATCCAAAAACAAACAATTAAAAATAGTTTGTTCGTTGCTGTTGTTTTTGTATCTGACCTTAGATTGAAGATTGTTCATATTATATCCAAATTTTCAGGAAAGTCAGAATCGCATTTGATTTGAGAAATTAAATGTTTTTTGTTTATTTTGATTTAGATATAACATGGTCGATAAGAGATTCAGATTTCACTCTGATGTCGCGTTGGAAATCGATCACGAGTAAGCGATCAACACTTGTGAAATGTCTGCATTGGAAGATGAAATCCGTACCTCCGTGCCGTGTATTACCCTCTCAGAGCACCTCTTTACATTTACCACTTGATATTTTACTACTTTATTATTATTTTTTTTTTACAATTGTCTGAATTCCGCTCATAATACTCAAACAACAGAGAGGCAGGTGTTTTAGTTTTTATTATTATTATTTTTTTTTTTTTACAGTTGTTTGAATTCCGCTCATATAATACTCAAACGACAGAGAGGCAGGTGTTTTAGTTTGAGCAAGGAAATATAGTCATTCTCATCAACACTATTCAGTGTTTAATAGTAAAAATTAGGTTGTAGTAAGCTATACCAAAAGGCAAAATGAAAACCGTGTTTGCCTAATTATAATTGGTTTGTTAGAGTGATTTTCATGGGACTGTGAAAAAAAATAGTTCCTACGCTAATAGACGCTAGTAGACTCTACACCAATTGCTTTCTTTTTTTTTTTTTTGGAATACAACTATTAGAAACTATTAAACACTGACTAGTAGTAATTCTTTCACAGACGGATGAAAATGACTCTAATACAACTATCAGAAACTATTAAACACTGACTAGTAGTAATTCTTTCGCACACGGATGAAAATCATGACTCCAAGTTTAACTATTTGGAGCTAATAGGGGATAATTAATAATATTTAATAGTACAATTCCTATTTCACAGACGGATAAAATGCCTCTATTAGTATCTCTCCTGCGAGATATGTGTTTGATTTTTTGAATTTTGTTGTTTTATATTAGGTAATTGTTTGGACCTGATCCGCGGTCCCTGATATCACCAAGTATAGCCAAACATTTTAATGGGGAAATTATAATTTTCATCACTTTGCAAATAATACATGATTGTGTAAAAAAATACGTATTGTGATTATCTCAACACAACGCTAAAAGAATATTGTTCTACTACTAATTTGTAACATATATATAATTAGCTTACTTTTTTGTCAATAAAGTTTTTCTCTATTTTATATTCACCGAAAAAAAAACAGCTGGTCGGATTCCTTAAATCTTTTGTTTGGAACCAACTCTTCAAATAACTTGTCAGCATTCCCTGAAATTCCCTATTTTTAGTACTAAGACATATGGTGGGCGTGATTCGAAGTCTTAACCTCAAAATAGTCGAACGCTCTCCCTAAGGACATTAGACAAGCACCAACCGTAGAACTGTTTAAGTAATGCCCCGAGTAAGAACTAGGGAAGCAAACGGCAAAGGTGCTAATTGTACATTGTATAATCCATCAATCCCATTGGTTAAAACATGAAAATCTGCTATTATTTCACAAGTTAGCGCATTTTCTAATATTTTATTTAATGTCTGTTTTCGTTTTCATGAAAGCTTTCTTTAGCTTCAATATGACTAAGGCAAGTCTATGTGGCGAACATAGCAAAATTAGAAGCATCTTTTGTCTATTGTTTTTTATCCACACTTTATTTCAAAAATGTGGTACCCATATAGGTTGATATATAATCAGTGTGAAAACCAAGACATTACAATGTGGGGGAGTTGCGATGCCGCAGAACAATAGAGAGTTCCCTAGTTCTTTAGCGCATTGTTTCTTAAAATAAAAAAAAGACACATTTTTAATCTATATTCTTTACTTCTCCTTTAAATATAAGAATAAGAATAAGAATAAGAATAAGAATAAGAATAAGAATAAGAATAAGAATAAGAATAAGAATAGAAGCTTTAACTATGTACATGATAGTAAAAATTGCTAAATTGCGTACAAAACTAATTAAAAAAATGTGATAATAATAATAATAGCAATAATAAAACTATAATATGCATTAACTAATTGATTACTATATACAATGTAAGAATTAGACTAATTAGAATAAAAGGACTATATAAAACCTATAAAGGACCTATACAATGTACTATATACACTAGTCAGTTCACATATTATTATTGTTAAAGGAATTGCTATGAAAAGTGACGAAACAATTCTTTCCTCTGTTGGTATTGAACTTAGTGTTAAATGTCCTTGTTCTCCTGATTTCGTACTTTGCTTCGTGGCGCGGAGGCACTAACTTTATGCCATATTGTTACTGGCAACTTGTTTAACTTACACATCTTTTATTATCATTTTTATTCTAGACATTGAGAACTATATAATTATTATTGACATTGTTATAACTATTATCTATAAAAAAACATTCACWWCAAGATGACTAAACAATGACTAAATAATTAATGTTCACATACTAAGTTCCAGAATAATTTGAGAATCAACAAAAGCACTGTTACCGAGATGTTGAATCAATGAATAAGAGGGACTTCATCAAACATGGCGGCCATGATTTAACAAGTATGACTAACAGGGTCGAGACAAGGGACATTTTTTTTTTGATTCATTGATTTCGTTGTATTTCTGAAAATATTGATCCCGATTCCAAAAAGCGAAAAAAAAAAAGACATTCAAGATTTTCGAGATCCCTCTCAAATGCTGATTCCAATTGACTCCAATGTCTTAGTGTTGCAGTATTCGGATCCCAGCCCGGCCCTTTTAATCGCAAAAACGCTTTTCCAGTATTTTTTTTCTGATAAAGTTATCTTCAAAACTTGGCAGGAAAATTCTAAACTTCAGTTTGTAAGAAACATGCATTACAAGGGTTGTCTGTAAGTCATTTTCTTCGTGACAAGCTGTTACTGTATTGCTATGTATTCTCGGATTAAGTTGCTGTAAAGTATACCTATACAGCGGTCCGTGTGTAATAATCTATACATGTGAAGCACCTGTGAACTCAGAGGATATCGGCGGTATATAGATATCACATATTATTATTATTCAGTGTTATTATTAGATACTTTGTGGTTTTAAGAAATCGAAGAAAACCGAATTCGATATTTCTTTTCTTCTTTAAAAAAGAATCGGAAGATATCAATTTTTTGTAGTTAGAAGCGATTCATATTACACAAGTGAAGGCCACAAATTTACCACAGCTAATTACTTAAAGCCAGTTTGCTATCATTTAACATCGCTCTGACAATTATTATATAAGGTGGCAGAAAAAGTACTTTTGATCACTACTTACAACTGGCTCAGAAAACTACGGTAACGCCCAAAAAGATGAAGTTGTTAGTCATTGCCCTTATCTCAGTATTCACAATTTCTTGCTGTGGTACGTATTTTTTAATTGTTTTATTGTTTAAGCAATCATTCAACAATGTCTTTAATTTCAGAAAAAATGTTTCGCAATGTTGGCCCAAAGGATAATTAAGCGATATGTTGTAAAATGCGTCAATGTAATGTAAGGCCCATTTCAGAGGTCGATCTTTTTAGTCAGGCTAGCCGTAGGCTAGTTCGACTTTAGTTTTACCTCAATTTTTGCCAATCTATATATTATGTCGCGTTTGGAACATCGGAAGATGATTCGATGGATTGGTTGTGTAATTACATGACCGGAAGCTCAAACGTTATAGATGTACAAATATCGTTAGTAAATGCATGGTTCTGCTTGCGCTTTTATGTGATAAAAAAGCTATTCGTTTACAAATGTGGTATCTGAGATCTCATCGGAATGCATCAGTCTAGGCATCATATGGAGCTTCGAGTAGTATGCTTACGAAACTGAATCAATGTACTTTCTAGCTTTAAATGGTCTTGTGTGGGCAAAGATTTCAAATTAGAACAAGAAAAAAGGCTACTTTGATTATTTTATGACATCTTTTTTTTTTTTAGTAAAGTATTTATTTTTTCGGCCTGAGAGTTCAATTTTCATTGAAAAATCATTTGATAGTATCAGTCAAAGAAAGGATTTATTACTCGGGGTTCCTGTGGAACCGCRAGTTTAGGTTTCGGCGTTATTTTTTTTCGCATTCATCGCCAAATCGCGATTTTTTGAAAAATACCGTGAGTTTATCAAGCTTATTGTGACTTTAGTTATGATACACAAGCTATTTAATCTATCCAAAGCCAATCATGAACTACAGGCCTTCTATCTTAAAAGCTACTGATATTCAAAGCTCTAACTACTATAAAAGAACAATAGACTCAAGTGCCGATTGTCAACAAAACTGCACAGGTGAAATAACGAAGGATTACAAACTAAGGATCAGCAAATGGTGTTTGTTAATACATTGATTTTTTTTTACTATTTTCTATCCAAGGAAGAATTTTTAGTTTTACTTTATGTTTGATAATTGTAGTTTTTATTATTCTTTGCAATAATTGCGGTAAATTTATCAAGTCAAAATTATATAAGTCTTGATTATTATGCTATCAACTGGACTGAGAATTTATTATATTTTTTGGTCGCGGCAAGAATAAATGAAACTACATGACTATAATTCAGAAGGAGCCGACGGAGTCTGTTCTTCTAAATAATTGTCCTTGTACGATTTTTTTTCCTGAGAAAGAAATTTTTAGCTACATTTATGACAATCTCACAACAAAATGTGGCGCCGCCAAAACATATAATTGTATTTATTATTAAAATGAAAGACGTTGCCAATATTCTATATGTATCATTAAACCAAGAGACCACACTAAAAAGAAACCTCGCGAGAGTGCACGCTGACAAGCGTCTTAATTTAAAAGTCGCCTGAAAAGAACTTTTTCGAGATTCTTCTCGTTCAAGTTGCCGTACAAACTGAAAACTTCGATAAGTATACTTTAAGTAAGTTCTTTTCTTTAAACATTGCATTAAACTGATTGTTGAATTAATCACATATCACGGTGTCGTGTTTAGATGACATTTTAGGTCAAATTTATTTTTCAAAAATCGAATTTTGCATATTTTGAACTAAACGCTCTTAGAGCGTGAAGTCGACCTATTTTGGAAAATTCAGAGAGGATATTTTTCTTGGCTCAATATTTCTAGCGTTTTGACGTCGTTGCAGCAAGTCGTCAGAAAAGAATTATAATTTTGAACAGTAGATCCAGTCATCGGCAATTAGTTCCAGTCATTGTCGGACTTTAAACATTACATAAAAAAAACAGTGAAAAAACGAATCCTTGCTTTCACTATGTGTTAGAATTAAAAAAAAGTATTCTACACTATAACTTATATTCACTTATATTCACGATGAGAATTTTATCCCCATTGTCTTGAAATATTGGCCATTTCGACGTTGCGCAGGGGACTGGGCATTAATCAAAGAAATATTGATCTATTCACGAAACAAACCCTACCAGKTGAAAGGACACCCAAAAATTAGTATATATACCAAGTTTCAAAACGTTTGGATAAAAACTAGCTGAACAGTATTTATTTCTAGTTTCATCAAATTAACAGAGAATGTATTGTTTTGGGGGACGCGGTCAAAATCCCCATACATTCTCTGTAAATTGCACGGCTTCTCATTAATTGAATATTTGTACAAATGATCTGTAACTTGGAACCTACACTTAAGTCGATAAAGTCTTTTTAGCGATATGGTTAGTTTTTCGATTGGCTCAATATGACAGAAATTACAATTCATTTTATAACATAAAAATGGCTAATAGAGCGTCTAGTTTATATCTAGTTCCTACAAAATCTGTTAAATATTACATGAAAAGTAATCAACAAGGAGTTACTTTCACAAATTTTTTCTCTTAATATAGTTTAATTTCAAATCACTTTGCGTGATTTATCAGTATAGATGAACTGCATGCCTTTGGTAGCACTATTCTTTACATCTAAACCAGACCCTCCTTAGAGCGTCAACTCGGTCGAACTATTTTTGAAATTTGAGAAAGATAGTATATTACATGGTTGGTCAAACACAAGAAAAGTTTTAAATGAGCTCATTTTGAATAAGTACTGAGTAACACAGCACTTTTCAACACGTTTAGGGCACGAGTACACCCTGCTGTTAGGGTCTAGTTAACAATAAGCTTAATAGAGCTGTTAACGGTATGATAGGTGAAAGAAAGACACGACTATTACAAACATGATGTGAAAGAGCTGTGTTACGATCGATACTAGAGACTTTACGCAGAGCTTGATTGATGACTGAGACAGAACTTTTGATTAAGGGAAAAGAATGCATCTCAATGCATTTTGTGGAAAAATCATTCCAGTAAAAGTACACTAAAACTGTGCAACTTTAATACCACTAAATACCGCTAAATTATGCTAATTATATTGTTTTTAAACAATATAAAATTAAAATTAGCATTATTTTGCAGTAAATAGTGGAAAGTGTTTTTACTATACCATGTATCTTTAAACGAAAACGTAGAAACTGGAAGAAAGGAATGGTATGAAAATTATGCCTCAGGGACCGCGAAGCATGGAGGGCTGGGAGCCTACAACCCCCACCCCCTCCCCTGCCCCCCAAGGCCATTTCCATTGTTTGTTATCATTGTTATTGTCATATTATTATTTACATTGTTAGTATGGTTGTTAGCGTGGAATATGGCATTTTATATTGTTTATTTTATATCTTATTTTATGTGTTTTATCATTTTCATTATAATTTTTTTTTACTTTATCTTCATACTTATCATTTTTGCTGGTTTTACATCGACAGAGAAATGCAAAAAGCCAATCGATCTGGCCATTATTCTGGATTCGTCCCGTAGTATGAGCAAATACAGTTGGCGTAAAGTCCAGGAATTTGCAAAAGCACTTGTGGGCAGTATTGGAGAGGTTTCTAAAAGTGGAAGTCACGTTGCGGTCATGAGATTCAGCACAGAACCAGAAATAGATCTCTCTTTCAAGGAATTCAACTCAGACAAATTCGGTGCACAGAATGTTAAAGATAGGATCGACAATCTGAAGCACATGAAAGGTTTCACTTTCTTGGACAGAGCTCTTCTATTGACAAACAAAAAAATCTTTACTACCGCTGCAGGGATGAGAGAAGATAAGGAAATAAATAAGGTTAGATATTCATAATGTTTCATCTAATTAAAGGTTTTTGTAGAAGTGTTATAGGTAGAGAGTAGTCAGTTTCTATTGTGTACAAAATAAAGAAATAGTATTTTTTCCGATCATCAAAACCACCTTTTATATTAGGTTGGTGCAGAACAAGTTATGAGGACTTCGCCGAAGGCGAAGTGATTATCATCAATGAATATTTACTGAGCGGCGATTCCGCTAGCCGCGAGCTAAATACTCATTGATAATCACTGAGACYGAGGTGAATAATTGTTTTAGTATAATTTCATAAGTGAATATTCATAAAAATAGAGGAAAAAGAACTACTGCAGCATTTTCGTAAAATGTTAATATGTGGCGGGGATTGAAAATGGCGGTCGAGGGCCGCTCAGATTGACAGCAAAGTCGTCAGGACTTTCAACTGAAAGTCTTTAAAAAAATTATCAAGTATACTATTTAAGTAATAGAAGGTTTTTTTTCGTGACTCTACCGGTGAAATAGAGCACGCGTGCCACAATAGACCATGGTTGAGCAGCCAATTGAGAGCGCGCGATTTGTAATAGACCATAAGTTGTTGGACAAGCGAACACCTCTATTTTTCCTCAAGAAACAAGGTTCCAATGTTCAATTCCGGCTACCTTCAATCTTGTTTACAATCGAAGACGAAAAATTGACAAGCTTTTAAATGTATTATACAACTATGCAAGTATTTAATAAATAGTATTTTATAAATTGTCGACGTTCTATTTAATATGCGATTTTTGTATGATTTTTTGTGGCTAGTGCCTCGGAACGAGGCTCAAGCCACTATGCTATCGTGTGGAAGTTCGTGTGTGTGTGTGAATGTAATTCGGGATAACTTCGTGATTACTCGGCTTTTTTCGATATTCTTCGCAAACCATTATCTATACAAGTTTTATCGTGTTGGTCTTCCTTTGTTATGACGTCAATAATCATTGTACCACCCCTCCCTCATCTGTGCCTACAATTGTCATGTACCACCCCTCCCTAGCTAATCTTTTGTCCGCTCGTATACCCGATACTATCCCGCTACCCACTGGGGAGCGTATACAATATATACTAGGAAAATAATATCGTCTCAACCATGTGGGATACTATGTGAAGTCATTTCTCATTCTCTTTATAACTCTTCTGAGTCTACACATAATCAAATTACATTTTTAGACGGTTTTTATTCTATAATTTAAAATTGAATAATCGATTATAATAAAATTATAAATTGTATTGATGATTTAAGTAGAGTGTTTTTACGTAAACTCCAGACTTCAAAGATCGAATACATGGAATAGATGTCCATGGAATATGAATAATTATCTATTTACATCAATATGCAATCTTTAATATATTTTTGTACTTTTATCGACTCTATTATCAATGCTGTCATTGCTGATACAACAAAATTCAAAAGTATTTTCGAGCAGTCGTCAAGCGTATTTTGAACAATCATTCAAGGTGCACTTCATATTATAAACAACAATGATTTCGCCAGAAAACGTATTTAAAGGACTTGCCAAATCATTGTTTATACTATCAAAATAAATTCAACTACCCAAACACTCAGTGGATTATAAAACGATTTCGTAAAACCAATCATTGTTAACTTGCTTGATATATTCGGTGGTAAATTCTTGACCACGATCGACTGCACTTCTTAGCTATAAGTCGTTCTCTTGTTGATTGTCTTGACTTCGGATTCATATTATTTCTTCGTCTCAGCACTCCAGGTAGGTATGTCAGTCGTTGTAGCCGAACAAGTCATCTTAACTTGCAAAATTTGGCCATTTTAAAAGTGAGACAAGTTGAAAGAACTCAGACATCTGACAACAAACACTACGCAATCGAAACGTTCAGCGCATGCTCCAAAGACTTATTACGTCATTCATTGCCACAGGGATCTCATTTTCTGCTTTTTTCCCAACTTTTTCTACAAAATATGCCACTCGACGATATCTTTTAAAGCCCAAAAACTTATTCAAAGAAAAGACAATTTTTTTAACCTTAAATATTTGAATGGTTTTAACTTTTTGAAGTTTTTTGTTTGTTTGCATCACTTTCTTAGAAAACAAAACTTAAATTTGTAGCACTAGCCACATGCAGTCTCAGATTGCGTATTTTTCCATTTGATGTGATTTTATCGAATCAGGAGTGCTTTGTAAAATTTGTTTTCTTTCTACTGAATTCGCAATAAAATGAAAATATTTTGTTTCTCAAAATCTGGAAAACGTTGTTAAAATGAAAACGTTGTTAGATACTAAAACAATTAGACCTCTCGCCCTCATGGGCTACGTTCAATAGCCCATGTAGGCGAGAGGTCTAATTGTTACAGCAGTTATAGGCTACTTTGGTAATGTACATGGTGATGTTAGTAATAGACTAAATTAATAGATAATTACTGAGGCACATAGTAATCGTAAGTAAAATGCAGGAAGCTGAGGGCAAGTCCGGCAAGCCATTCTCCAATATTTTGGATGTTTCTGCCTATTTTTAAGCAGCTGGCTAACCTGCTTCTGTTTGCATTCGTTGATTTAATGCAGGGAACAAACAATATGGCTTGCGATCGGTATTTCAGTAACTATTTTGCAATATCGCTTCATTCTAAATGTTACTCAACGTTTTGCCTTGTAAGACATTATAAATATTGGAAATCAAATACTTTACATGCTTTTGAGAACAGTGCCACTCAGTGCAATTACCTACCAAAAGTCAGTCAGATAATATTTGTGTGAGAACATTTTAGAGACTTTCTATATAAAATAATTATATGCAAAATACAGGACTAGCTTGTATAAATCAAGACAATTCTTACTTGAAACATGAGTCATGTTCATTATTTTTACTCCCGTACAACACGTTCACTCATAACAATATCTTCCAAAAATAAAAAAATCCTTGACGCAACTTCACGGCGGTCACCTGATTAGCATTGCGACAGGAAGCCCATGTTAACGCTCCATGAGCGTCTAGTTTTGATGATTTCTACATTTTGGTCTATTCGGTTTATTGTTGTCTTAAAGGCCAAGTGCATCCAAGAAACTTTGCGCGATTTTTTCATATACGAAAAATTGCCAACTTTTGAGACAATCAAAAGCAACTTTCAACAAAAGCTTATTTGCAAAACAATAGAAACGATCGCAAAGGTTCATGGATGCACGTGGGCCTTAAAGCAAACCATGTTTTAAACTAGCCAAAATAAGTACTGAATGTTGACACAATTTTGAGGTTCCCATATGAAATAGTCATAAAATATTTATAAATATTATACAAATAACAATATACATTGGCTTGCAGATTGTGGTAGTATTGACAGACGGCATGCAAACAATATCACATGGTCCCTATACACCACTTTACGATGCATCGGAACAACTCAGAAAAAAGAGCATTGAGATCTATACAGTAGGTGTTGGTCCATCCATCAGTCTTCAGCAGCTCGTAGACGTTTCGACTTCCCCAAATTATGTCTACAGTGTTCCTGGATTTGATAGCTTGTTGAATGAAGTGGAAAAGATTCAGCTCATAAAATGTGGTAAGGAAAAAACAGCGAAGAAAAAAGAATTTTAGAGGGATGAAATCATAATAGCATAACATATAACATATTAAATATACTTAAAGTTTTAAAGTGTGCCTTGCCAAATCTTAAGCTCTGATCTGAAAAGTTAGATTCCTGCAATTATCATTAATTGAAATGGAATAAAGAAATTTTTATTTATTTTTATTTAAAATTAAGCAAGATGTTAGACTACAGTGAACATCGAGAAGACATGAATGCAATATGAAATATTTCGGGAATGTCTATAACCAGAAGTGTCCATCTCGTAATAATCTCATCACCATCAGATGTCCTGATAATCTATTTTTAGACAACCAATCACAACGCGCGCACATACTACACGGCACCTGATTGGTCCTTAATGCATAATTTTCAAGAGCGGACAAGAGAAAATGCAGTCAATGGAGGCGAACGAAGTGATATTTGCATCACGAGAATTTTACACCTGGTGGTTGCTCAACAACCATTTCTGAATTTGATAGAAAACATATTTTACTATATGAGCAATGTAGCGAAGGTAGTTCAAGAGCGGTATGGTTTGCGGAAACAGTTCAGACAAAGATGTATTAAAACAAAAGACGTGCGAAGAAATGTATGCAAACAATGGAAAAATGTGATATTGAATAGTCTCCTTCACGGTTACCTGGGCCATGTTGAAAGGTAGCCGTGCCTTTGCATCGAAGTGAGACAACCGTTGAGCGTGCAATGATAGAAACCTTCTTTCACACCTACAGACAATTATTCACAGGTTTCTATCATTGCACGCTCAACGGTTGTCTCGCTTCGATGTAAAGGCACGGCTACCTTTCAATATCGCGCAATTAACCGTGAAGGAGACCATTGTATTTCTTTTGAGTAGAAATCTGTGCCAATAGTATAAAAAATAAACCCTACCTATACGTAGAATTGTAGCAAAGGTAATTTAGGATCCTGAAATAGCCTTATAAAAAGGGGAAAAACTAAGACGAAAAAGATGCCCAAGTAAAATGAGTGCCAAAAATGTCACAAAAAGTCAATCAAACTCTTTTTTACAAAATGATGTTTGATTATGTTTTGTTTTATTGTGAACTCTACATTGTGTAAGAAGTTGAAAAATGATTGTTCTTTAAAAGAAAAACTGAGGAATAAACAAACTAGCGAATAGATACAAATGGTAAAAACGAAATCATGTTAAATTTTCAGTTTACAATAAACAATAGGAAGTTATGAAAATAAAAAAAAAACAAAAAAAAACAACAACAAACAAACAAACAAAAAAAAGAAAGAATACAAACAAACAAGAGACTGAGTCGTCAAAGAAATATCGATAATACCATGCGAGCAGAGTGTATTACCTTAACTCAATAAAAATTCGCGAAGGAAAATAACACTCTGCCGAAACCTTGTAATTTCTTATTTGAGCATGCGCGGTGGTTGCTTAGAAACTGATTGATTTCCACACTTCATTACGCGTAATTTTCGCTTCCGGTTGACCTCTGGACTTGTGAACACGAGCTCCGCATTTATCTGTATATAACTATGATCCGTTCTTCTTTAAAATATCATGCACGAAAGCGCTCTCGCAAGACTTGATTTGATCGACAACAACTGCCTGTTACGGCGATACCACTTAGAGTAGTTGTTTCGTAGGAAACTCTCTTGAATTCGGATGACTACAGCTTATTTACTAGAGGAACGATAAGCTGATATACCAGCGATTTTCCGTGCCCCGTCGGTAACGAAACAAACGTCTCTCCTCCACAAATAAATGCTGAGATTCTTTCCTCTCGATGAGAAGACAATTCAAATGATCTACTAGAAAAGAAGACTTTTGAAGATTAGTGTTGAATGATAGACGCCATTTATTATGCTTGTGGGCTCAGTTTTGGTCACCGGATCAATGCATTTATTTAGAAGCGCGCAGAAAAACCAGTTTGACTGAGCAAAAACCGGTCTTGACTAGCCCCAAATCTTGGGCTATCGGCAGATCAAAGAAATTACAAGGTTTCGGCAGAGTGTTATTTTCCTTCGCGAATTTTTATTGAGGTAAGGAAATACACTCTGCTCGCAGTGTATATCGATAACTGACTTTAAAATCAAACACTTCGCCTACTTGAAAATTTGCAGCTTCGTCATCTCAGGTTAACAGTCGAAAATTATATCAATTCCAACTCTATTTGACTGTAAGGAAGCTACTTTAGACTACTTTTCTTCGCACGATGATTTACATTTTTCTTCATCTTTGACTGAACTTTTCCCACTCTTTTCGCAGACCATTTTTCTCTTGAAGTACCTTTGCTACATTGCTCATATAGATAAGTACTGAGGCACGCAGCATTTGCAGGTATAATGCAGGCAGCTGAGGGCGCAGAACGAAGTTGCCTGCATTATATCTACGAATACTGTGTGCCGAAGTAATTATCTAGACAGTATAATTACTGATGTTATCAAAATCCAATTGTTTTCTTTCTAGCTTATACTTGTTTATCATAGGAGCAATGCCAATAATGAAAGTTTAAACGAACTTCGAACTAGAGTTTTTTTAAGTCGTGAATTTATTTATCTGAACACCACAACTTAATAAATTGTCACAAAATACTCCTGAGTAACGGCTAAAAATCAACATAAACAACGAAAGCATGCTAAACTGTGCCAAATCATAAATTCAAAATCATGCGAGAATGCGTTGCCTTTTCAGTATATGGAACATAATGTCCCACACGTATCATAAGACTCGATACTAAATCTGATAATTTCTAAATGGGTACTGGGTCTTTGTAAGGACTGATAAGTAGTTTTCTTAAAAAAAAAATGCTCTCTATTTACACCCGATTTCAAATGAGTGCGAACTCTCGAATTTTTTTTGAACGCTAAACTTTCACTCGACCGTCATTCACTCGACCGCTTGGTAACCAGGCACACGTGTTTTGTAAGTGATGCGTGACTTTCTGTAGCGGGACCTTCGCATTTAGAATTATGGAGGAAGAAGCGGTGGTCTTTGTTCGAGATATCTGTGGTCCTTGTGTTTCACAGAACATTCTACTTCACTCAATGCAATTGAGAACAATTAGAAGAATATCAACTAAACTTGATTAAAAAATATAATTTTCTATCTGATTTGTAGTTTAAATTTGGCTTTATTAACTTGTAAACATCAAATGAATGCAAATAATACTTTGCACATGAACTTGAGGGTGTTGTTTTCTGCATCTTGAAAAKATATTCTTATGTTRAACTAMAATACACATTTYTTCTTATTTTCTTTCGTTATGTAAACAATTTAAGTTTACAATAAAAAAATTATCAAGCAAGCGAAAAAATAATTGCAACACTGTTGTTTAAATTAAAGGTTGAAAGCGAAGTAACTTATGTTTAAATGTAACCTTCTTTCGAAGAAGTAAATATATTCTTATTCGTATTACTGTAAAAACCCTGATTGATTGAATACAAGTTTACAATGACACTTACATGTGAGAAGTCGAGGCCTTCCACGCCGTGTATATACAGCAACATTTCCTGTACGTTTATAAAGTTGTCGAATTTTACAAACAAAAGTTTTCTCTACAAATAACGCTCGAATTTTCGTTTGTCGTAAATAAGTTCATGGTAAATAGCCTTCCACCGAATATCGTCCGATAACCTCTTCATTTTAATCAGTAAACTAGTAAAATCAACAAAGAACAGCCTACGAACACAAAAAGCGATTTAAAGTGCGCGCGCTTGTCAGTGTTTGTYACGCTATTTATTTTTCAACTGTTTCGTTGTAATTGTGAGCTGAGAAAGTTAAGTTAAACCGAAACTAGTTTTTACAATAAGTTCGTTTTGTAGTGCGATCACAAACCGTAGGAATTTAGCCCACAGACATACAWTAACCRTGSTTTTTATACTTGGATAATTTTACCCGCTTCAAGCTGTGCCAGGTTACCAAGTGGTCGAGTGAATGACGGTCGAGTGAAAGTTTAGCGTCCGAAAAAAAATTCGAGAGTTCGCACTGATTTGAAATCGGGTGTAAGCATCTTGGTAAATAAGTTTGCATATGGTTGCGGTAGAACTATTAACCCCCAATGTAGYGSCAACCGCTAGATAATCCTCGGCCGGGTCCTCATACGCTCTTACAAGACGCTCTTTCACTTCGCTCGAAATTCGATGTCGACGCGGAGGCATTGCATTCCAACTTTAAACAAGTCGTAGTAGCTGTAACGAGTCATATTTCATGCTGAAATTTGACTGCAAAAACTATGACGAAATTAAATGTCCGTATTTTGGTATTGTATGTTTGTTGTAGTTTATTGAAAGCACATAATGGGCGAATGAAGGTTTGAAAACGTTAATGAATCTGCGCCCAGTTATGCATGATTGTCCATGTCTATGCTAAATATGTTAATGATTCTCCCTTCACGCTCTTGAAACTCCCTAAGCGTTAATGAACGTTCGTTCGCGCTAAAGACAATGCAGTTTCGCTTGATTGAAAGTCCCTTCGCGGTTAATGAACAGCAAAAGGTGTATTTGTTACATAATAGCCCGGCCTATATATTTGCACAATGTCCACAAATACTCGTAACACGATCGAGGTATATATTTGTAAAGCCCTAAATATATTTGTACATAACCATGTAATTATTCGTAACTGAACCCCATGCATTTGCAAAATGGCCGTAGATATTTCAACAATAGCCCTATATATTTGCAAATGACATATATATAATATGCATTACAGTTTAACTTAAAGTTAAAATTATCGAAAATGTTTTCAAAAAAGTGCTCAACTTTGTCAAGGAGCATTGTATAAAATAAAATTCATACTAAAAGACTAGAATGATTCATTGGATGATTTATTGCTACAAGCTAGTTTCGTATGGTTCATCAGAGATGGCCACACTCGTCAGGCAAGTTACAATGAATGAATGACCGTTAAAGYTYGCTGGTAGTTTAARAACSYTATCYAGTTTACATCCGGTAGAGTTATATTACATGGTTTCTTAGTGTTAATCTATTTCTGTGTTGACATGGGCTGGCTAATTCGTTTCGTCTATTTAAGGAACATAAGTGCTTTTTACAAATAATGATAAATTTCTCGCTTAGACATAGATTACATTTTTTGGTTATGTTTTTGTAAGGTTGGCATTTTTTTAACTATTTTCCATTTAATATTATAGTTTTTCTTTTCTTCTTTTAATTTCCAGATGTACTTTAACAGTTCTGTTTCGTTTTTTTCGTATTGACAGTTTAAGTGAACATTTGTGGTTTCTGTATCGTTCTTTGAAGTTTGTGCCTAGACCTATGTATGTTTCTTTTGTAGTTTCTGTTGTTACTGTCGCTTGGTATATGACTACAAAAGAAATATCACTGTATGTTTCTCTGTACCATACTCATACTTTACATTTCAAGTATTCACTAGTGATTCGTTTGTTTTCTCATTCTTTAGATTGCTACGAGCCTTTGGACATCGGGTTCATTATTGATAGCTCAAGTACTGTCGAAAGGGAAGGATTTCGTAAAGCTATGAATGCTACTGTGAACTTGCTCAAGCTACTTCACATTGGTGAGGGTGACGACAAATCCCACTTTGGCCTAATAAAGTTTAGTCACAAAGCAAACACCACAGTAGAGTATAATTTTACTGACTCTCAAGATTTTGCAACTGCTGCCAAGAAAATCAAAAGCATCAAGTGAGTTCATGCAATGTGATTTGAAAGGAATTCAAAACAATAATTTGCTTTCTATAAATTAGGCTATTTGCATAATGTCGCCGACTTGAACTACAACAACGAGATTGCTGTGCCTTATTGTTCAAATTTTGTATTTTTAGCAGAGATAAGTTTCAATTATTTTCCAGTTGATTTTGCCTACATATTGCATGAAATTTGACTGGAATATGTAGTAAATAAACCCCTCTGACGGCTGGGATATCGGCTGATAATGTCCGAGGATGAGTCCGAAAATGAGCATATTTGGCCGAGAAGCGAAATCCCAGTGAGCCAAGAAAGGGTTTATTACATGGGCTTCCTTTTGAAGACCTGTCTTAAAATGCTGCTGGTTTTTCGTCGTTGTGAATTTTTGGCTTCAAAGTGCTAGCGCCCGCGATTTCAATTGTCTGCAGTCTCAGCTTCCATAGAGATGCTGAATCAATATCCAGTTACCGTTCATTGCCTCTCTAAGCATTTGGCCTCGTGTTTAAACTAGTTTCGACGACCTTGACGATTATTAACTGAGGAGTTTTATCACGACAATGAAAGACTGTGCTGAAGTCGCAGAGGCGTGATTCAGCACTCTCTATTAACAAAAGGCTCGCTAAATTAAATCGAAGAGGAGAAAAACTTCGAATAATAACAACGGCCAAAATGGCTTCACGCCCCCCCCCCCCCCCGGGGGGGGGGGGGGGGGGGGGGGGTTATTGGACCTCGTTTTGGATAGGTACGTGCCGCCAGCGGTCTAAATCCCTGACCCTGTTTAAGACACTAAAAAGTGAAAATCCATACCCTGTTCAAGACAAATTGGAAAAATAAGGAATAGCTATCTGCGCCGCAACCATCAAAAGTGCAATTATACTGAAATCCATCAAAGACAATAACAAATTTTTGATAACACGTTAATCCTGGGACAGTGAAACGGTATTTCTACGGTATTTCTTATGAAAATATTACACAAAAAAAATTACATCGGTCTTTTATCTAAATTGTAGAGCCTGTTTAAGACAATTTCGGGTGAAATGTATACCCTGTTTAAGACAGCAAGGCCAAAACCCATACCCTGGCCAGCGGCATGTCCCCGTATAGCAAATATATGGGAGTACCGAGTATCGATTCGACAGCAACACCTAGAAACTCATACATTTCTTGTAAAAAATTCTGGTCGAAATTATCTCGAGCACTTCCGATACACCGTAGATTGGACGAAAAGTAACCGATTGTGTAATCACTAGAACTACGGCCTTGTCTCGTGCGTTGGACTCCGTTGGTTCGTTGTCATTTTCAGTACTTCCGGAAATCCGAAGCTCTTGCCCTCTTGGCAAAAGTAGCCTGAGTATCAGGCTCTCTCGAAGGGGTTTGGGGCGGAGTGAGAAAGGAGAGAGAATCTGACACAATCTTCTATCGAGAGCCGTGTTCAGCGACCGTTAGAGGACAAAGGAAGTGACAAGAGAGGACAAAGAGAAGTGACAAGAATTAAAATATATGTAATTATTATGTTACTGAACGACACTATAACTCTTGATATAGGTGAATAACAGTTTGGGAAAGCTTTAATAGTACCCTGGTACCAGAGGCTTGTCTTTTATTCCTTTTTTTACTACGTTATCAAGCCGTTCTTGAATCGGTTCGTTTTTGCACTTACAAAAAACAAACCGATTAACGGAAACGTTTCATATAACACTAACATTACACCGACCTATATTTAAGAAATATAAAACGGCGCGCGTGTCTCTGTCCTCTGATATAAACACGGTGGGAGTTCGAAAAACACGAGAGAAGCAAGCTTAGGAACACGAGCGTAGCGAGTGGTTCTCTTGCTTCTCGAGTGTTTTTCAACTCCCACCGTGTTCATATCAGAGGACAGAGACACAAGCGACCGTTTTATATTTCTTTTATAAATTTTTTCGAGCGAAAAGAAAGTTTTGCCGGTAAGCCGTGTCTCTGTCCTCTGATATAAACACGGTCGTCAGCCAATCAGAGCGCGCGTTATATATCAAAAATTTTATAAATTGAAGTAAAACAATAGACCGAATCAAGGTTACCGGCGACATCTTGGAAGGGGTGCAACTAGACTGGGGCGAGCGCGCGGCAAACCATACATTCTCTTACAAAAATTCGTCTTTATGTTCTTTCTGTCGACTTTATTTAGCTTTCAAGTTTACAAGTTTACAAGTTTAATTCAATAAATAATAATAATTTACACATGAGTAGTTAGCGGGCATCGCAATTAGTTAAGACTATTCAGGGCGATGCCCGCTATAAATACTAATTCAGATTACAAAATGTAAAAGTTTATAACAAGACAATGAAGAAAAAAAGAAAATTTTAATAATGTTTATGTGAGAAAAAGTTCTGAAAAAAGGAAAAAAGAGAAAAGGAAAAAAGAACGATCGGGAAAAAACAAAAACACACTGACAAGAAGAATAAGCAGCTATGTGATTAGTTATTTAGTACAGTCAGGAAAAGCTGAGTAGCCCTGTCAATTCCAAAATAGCTCTCCTCATTCCGCAACATGTAAAATAAATTTGAACGTATAGTTTTTTTGAACAGTTTCAAGTTAAAGTTTCGCCGTTTAATTCGGATATTACTGTTAGCTCAGGTTGTTATAAGCTCAAGCCATGTATAAAACACTGGGAAACCTGCAATTATCGAATTCGGTACGACAACATCGCAATCGAAACACTAGCACGTATTTCTTCCCTGAAGCAGCTCAGTGCTTCGATTTATACTCGTTTGGTACTGAGGTTCTAGCTATTTGGTTGTAAATTTACAACTTCAGATCGAAGGCGAGATTAATGCGAACTGGTATAAGGCGGTCTCAGAAAGCTATACCGAAGAAGGGGAAATTAAATCAAGTACGAATCGTTTGCAGTAACCCGTGCGGATAGTCTTCGTCTCTTAGTCTCTTCATGTTTTAGCAAAAAGTCCACTTCACTTGCAAACCCTTTTGATAACACGTCCTCATTTTGCCGTGTTTATTCTGTCAAAGTCACTGCAGACATCTCAACAGCGCTCTTTTGAGCACCCAGTACAATAAACTCCTATGCACGACCGAAATGCATCACGGGAAGAGACAAAATTTGGACATAAATCTTACAGCTCCCCCGCACCTACAGGCAAAATATAGGTCCACTTGCATTCTTTTGTTGTCAAATATTGCCAAAATTACCTTGGTAGGTCGGAAAATCTGCCACAGATGGACCAGGAAAGCAATCTTACAATGATGTCTCCAGTTCAAAGCAAACCGTGACTTAGAGCCATTGTCTTCGAAAAACGCTTTCCACCTCTGATTTCTTCCAGAAGATTATCTCTGCCGAATAGTCAAGCTTAATGATACATGCGCAAGCCTAGGGGCTCCTGTGTCAGCAAAAAGCTCAAAAAAACACTTATAAACGGTTTTTAAGGTAAATTTAGGTTTAACCTTTCGATGAACAAACGATCCGACCTAAATTTTCAATGTGTTGCAAAAATTAACGCTCACTAGGGAATTCAAATCCGGAATAGTTTGATTGACAACACCTTATATGGAAGTTAAATATTCCATCATCTTTTTATAGTCGAAAATGCTCCAAAATCAACAAAGAAACAACCGTCATCAAAGGGTTAATCATTTGACAAGTGTTGACAAGGCGGCAAAAGTCTCTACTGAAGTAAAAACTACAAATTTATTGCTGCGTTTAGCGTAAATTACAAGTCTTTTTAGACAGAAAACCTCGAAAATGAGTGTCTTTAGTTCTTTTGCTTTGAGCTAAAGGACAAATGATAGCCATTAGACATAGAATTTGTGAAATTAAGAGACACAGAACGAACTAGCGAGTAAAAATGTTGTAAACAAACCGGGATTTTAGTGGCTTGTAATTTTCTCAACGTCAAACACGTCCACAGCGTACTTAGTCGACTTTTCGTTGTATTTCCAGATGTCGTTTTGTCAACTAGTTTTTTATTCTCAGCATCAGAGCTCTTTAAAAAGCGGTTTTGATCACTTTCCATAGCTTTTTTGTGTCAAAAACAAATCTGAAAATTTACGCGGACAAATATCACCTTCCGACGGGGGATGGATATCGCCTGATACCCGTCCGCCGAAAATGTACCACGTGACGCCTTTGGACCAATGGATGCGCGTGGAAATATATAGTTGGGATATAATGATTGATAGTGCAAGAGTGCAAGGAACCTCAAAAACCTTGACATTGTTACAATGCTCAGTAATATCAAGGCTTTTTATTAAAGGACGCTGGCTAAAATTATAGGCTCTTTGTTTGTTTGCTTGTTTATTTTTTGTTTATGTAAACCATTTAACAATTTTAAGGTTCATTGCATACATTGAGATATTAACCAATGAATATTCTTAGTTTGGATTGTATTCCAGTTACAGTAAGTAGCTTATATAATCATTTATTTTTTCGTCAGGTATCCTAGTCATTCGTGCGCTGTGATTGGCTAGCGCGCGGTCCGGTATTTCCGATGATCTGCCCGGTCCGACGGTATCCTGCAGCTAGCTACAAATAAAAAAAACTTAAAATGCTATTTACCGGCTATAGGTCGGTCCGTATAGGAAAACACTGCCCTCGGTCTTTTATGTAAGGACCTCGCTGCGCTCGTTACTGTCAACACCTCGGAAAGTGTTTTCCTATACGGACCTCCCAGCCGGTAAATGACATATATGTATTTTGGGTGTGGCTTGGATACCATAGCAACAAATTGGTACCAAATCGTTTTTCTCAATAAGGATAATGATATGTGAAATAATAAAATGGCTTTAAAATGTCTTTTCCTTGACATTATTGTTATCTTGGGTAGCATACCACCCTAAGGTGGCTTCCTACTTTTTTTTTCGACCATACCTCTCCTCTTAAATTTGCTTTTTGAAACATTTGCCAAACTATTCGAACTATTACACAACGGTTTTGGAATAGTTGAAAACAAATTCGAGTAATATTGACAAATATTTTATGGATGTGATTTTTGCACATTATTACTCAAAATCGATGAATTTATTTTCAACAATTCCAAAACGTTGTGCAATAATGATGTCTACCGCTTTTCTAGTGGATATCATCAATTTTTTAAATATTTGGAAAAAAGCAATTTTGACAAAATGCGATTCCATTGCCTAGGTAACATTATTGGAGCTAAATATTAGTCCAAACAAAACTTTGATTAATGCTTTATTACTGATCCAAACACCAAATTAATCGGTGCATGGCAATAATTTTAAATAGCAAATTTAAAAGGAGAGGTATGGTCGAAAAAAAATACAATTGGAAGCCAACGTAAACTGTATTAAAAAGGATGCACACGAGAATTGCCCAATTGCATTATGACGTTACATCAAAACATTTAACACTTATTTAATTACGGAACCGAGGGAAACAGCATGTGTTGTGGTCCCGAGACCGCTGTAATAATAATAAAATAATAAAATAATAAATATATATTTTTTAATTTATTTATTATAATAATACTAATCTTTATTAAATTATAAATCCTCCACTAGTAAAATATTTTACAATCTTCTAAAAAATATCGAGTAATAGTATCAATAAAATTTATAATAATTTTGTATAAAAGTTCAAATACTACATAATACACTAACTACTTCACAAAGATAAAAATTGAGAATAATAAATACAAGAGAATAAAAAGAAAAAAAAGAAAAAAAAACTTGTTCTTAAATAAAATATGTTAATTAGGTAAATTGTGATTGTTCAAGTTCAAGATCTCTCTGTTCAATGCAGTTCAAAACAGTTCGCTTTTTAGTTCTAGTGCCACGTAAACGTAAGAGGGCGGACCTCAGGAGAGAAAAGGATACTTTCGTTCGTATCCAGGTCACTGTAGTGCTGTATGGCTCTCYTTTCTTTATGGACAATAGCTCAGCTAGCCTGCTGTGAAATCGCTGGCATTCTCCAGACATGCCACCCGTTGTTATAAACACCAAGGGGGTGAAGCTTGCTTGTTCAACCTCCAATACACGACTGGCGTAGGCTCTCTTCTCCTGGTTTTCGTGTTGTTGGTAGGCTTGTTTGATTGTTAGGTTATTGTAGGACTCTGCGTTAGGGTGAAATACCCTCACGTCAAAAAGGCAGAGCTTTGTCTATCCCAAAAACCTCGCGCACGAACATCCAACCGTGCATCCGGGGCTCTGTTTGTTCCACTTGCCAGAACTTCGCCAGAAATCTCCTGGAGACAGGGTTCTATTTCCACGTCGTGGCACACACTCTTTAGCATRTCYGCTTCTAGATCACGCAACTCATTGTKTCTTTGAATAACAAATCCTCCTCGTCTACATACCATGGCATGRTCAACAGTATAAAGATCCCCACACGCACAAGTAGATTGTAGATCCGTAATGTGCCAGTCATATCGTAAATTAATTGCATCCTTGAACTCTCTCTTGTTAAGTGTAAAGTTCATTTCCTTCAGTGGAAGAACTGTGAGCCAGCTGGATGCTCCTTTTTTTGTGCTCCCTTTTCTGTAGCAAGTTCCGCAGCTTTCCTTGTGTTATTAGGGAGATTTCTCTTTACTAATTCGTGTAACGCTTGAAGCTGAATGTCCTTCTCCTTTCGGTTGAGCTGCTGCAGCGCTCGTACCTCTTCTTCATCAGGTAATGCGTGGGGTTGAGCCACTATGCTTTGCACTAATGGTTGAGTTAGTGTGGTAGACGCTTTGAATTCAATGCCTGCAGACTTACATGGATTTGTTAAGCCCAAACCTCCAAGCTTAACAGGRAGCRCTAGCAGATYACGTTCAGCAGGTGAACAGGTGTGCCCCGTGATARCTGGTATTAGAGAATCAGTAATTGCAYRCTCCARCGGCTCTAGTAGCACTTCGATATCGGGTAATGTCCTTAAGTAATACGTYCATCGATGTTTCAAWCCAAAKGHAAAGGCGGCATACGAGGCTTGTGGATTTACAGCAGCAAATTCTGCTAGCTTGACAACTTGCTTGATCCAGTCCTCAACCAATCCATTAACATACTCTTCCAGATGTGCACGAGATCCAAGAATGKCACCAAGATGTTTTTGACCTTGTGTTGATATGTTTATTGATGTGTCGCCGARAACTTCCCTCGCCTGGTCTTCTTTTTCTGGTTTGATCACGAGCCAGCACTTCTTTGCGTTAGRATGGTATCCTAATCCGGGCCCSATAGCATTCAGTTCATCCCACCATTTTCTAAGATCGTAAATTGAGCCTGCACTTGTCGCATCATCAGATTACCAACACTGTCTTGCGTTGGTGGAATTCTTCTTGAGGTGAGATATGAGGGGCTGAAGATTTATAGCATAAAAGCACATCGCTAACGGATCACCCTGAGTGGTACCTTCTTCAGATGCAAGCTCTTTTCCACCGGTGACAAATAGTCGTGCTGGAGCTCTGTAGGTATTGGCTGCATATTTCGCTAGAATTGGATACAGAACAGCGACATTATTCAAGGCCGACGATCTGTTCAATGTGTTGAAGGTGTTAGATGCATCTATTAAAAGAGCAGCGACTGTATCATCAGCATCGAATATGTCATGCATTGCGTGGATAGCTGCTTCCACTCCGCTCTTTACACCCGCACAGACTTGCAGGGAACCGCTGGTCTCGATGATTTCTTGTTTGGCTACCCTGGTTACACATGTGGCAATTATTCTCCTGATCCCCCTCTCCAACACCGATCGGTCGAAAATCACCGTTGCCTTTGTCAAGTGGAATCAGCCGGCTGGCTAAGATTGGTTGAATGGTAGTGGGATCGACATGCTCTGTACAGAGCCTCTTTGCGAGGGTCGCTATGGCATCACATAGATTCCTGCTAGATTTTTTGAAAGATTTACACGCGAGCAGTCTTCTTAAACCATTGGAACTTATCCCTGAAGGGCCACTTGATTCTTTAGTTCTCAATGCTGCTTCCTTCACCATCTCACCGTCGATCTGATTGAACACAACACTAGGAATATCTTCAATTGGGCCAAATAATAAGCATCCTAGTTGGGCTTCCTGTGGAATAGGATGTTTATCCACGAGTTGTTTCATTACGTCATCTGTCAATGGAAGAACACGACAGGAATCCTCTTCACTCAAATAACGCAAGGCAGAGTTTATTTGCCCTTCCATAACCAGTTTGGCGAAGATCTTAGCTTTGTTTGGAGGATCCTCTGATTTTTTTGATTTCATTAGGCGCCTTTGTATAATTCGCCCCTCACGCAAAATGGTGTCGATATTATCTTCTCTCCACAATGCTAGCCTCCTTGATAARCACTCTTGATGATCTTTTGATTTGGAGTTTTTATTCGGCTTTTGCAAGGCGAGGGCAAGAAGAACAATAGCAGCCGTTTTTATTAAAGATTTTGATAAAATGACTGAAAAATGGCAATATGAATAGTCAAATGTCACTAAAATCAATCAGTGTAATAACAAAATGAATACTATAACTATAACGTACTTAGCTATTTGTAGTCAAAATGTGACATTTTCACGACACTGAAGAGTGTTTTTCTGCGACTTTGTACTTATTGACGGTCCGCAACATATTATTGACCGCTGGTGGATAGTTGCCGGGAAACAGTAAAATTTTGTGACTCTCACGTGGTACACTCTCGACCAATAAGATACTAGGAAAAGTGAACTTTGACACTTGATATATAATAATCTCTATTGTTTTGCGCTAAGGATTATGTCAGCAGACAATAGTAAAACATAGCTTATTTATTGAGGGGAATGGTTTGGAAACCGTTTGTTGTACTGAACGTTTTGTTTGAACATGTTTTGTATGTATTTTGAGTTTGAATCAGTCAGTACCGTGCACAACTACAGACGATGAAAATTACAAAATGAGTGAACATAAACACCCGCTATGAGATTATGAAATGAAATATTCCATTTTGTACATTTTGAAGAGATAGTCAAAATAATAATTTGAAATCTTGCTGTTTGGAAACTTAAATGGGGCTCTTTATTTTTGAAAGGGAAAAAAAGGTTACTTGTAAAATGGAATCTTTTAGGTCTGGGTCATCCAGATGCTTGTGATTGATGAAGAGTCAAAAAAAAAAAAAAAAAAAGAAAAAAACGTCAGTCAGTCAGTCACGCACTTTACTGTAAACTTGAGCTTCCGTTACTTGTGTTTAGAATTATTATTTCATTCTAATTGTTTTCTAGTAATTTATTCACTGATTTTACGCTACCGGGCTCGCTGTGATATATTTGATTGAATTTGATTATTTTAAGGAAAATAAAGAATTAAAAGAAATATCAGATTATTAAATTCGAGCCTGAGACAGTAGGTCGGAAATCTAAGCTACTACGAAACGGCTACGCATGCAAATGTTATATAAATTAGCGGCTAGGCTTGCTTGTTTAGAATCGAATTTAGAGTTATAATATTTTAACGAAAAAAACTCTGTATTCATAAATAGCTTACTTAAAACTCTATTTGTAAAGTAATGATAATTTGATTCATGGTATCGTTCCATATTTGTTTACACAATCAATCATCCAGTTGTGTTGAGACACCTTGCTTGTATTGCCTACCTCTCTCCGTTATTTCATCCCAACTAAACTTAAAGACGAAATGGTTTTTAAGTAACGAAAGGAGACATAAAATGAAAAATCTCAGCTTAACAGGCTCCTTAATTTTAGGATTTTAATAAACAGTGTTTCATTGTATTTTCTCATTCCATTGATAGAACTACTGGAGGAGGCACAGACACCTCATATGCCCTGAAATTAGCTAACACGACGTTTTTCCAACCGGGGCTCAACGGCAACCGTGAAAATATCAGTGATATTGCTATTGTTTTTACCGACGGTGACAGTAAAGATGGATATGATGGTGTTAACTCTATTAGAAAGGTTCGTGAATCATGATAAATGAAAAGTTCTCCAAGATTATGATGCACCCTATTTCCTATCCGGGATGAAAAAGGGCCCTGATAAAAAAATTCTCTTGCTAATAAACGGTTAGAGATGGATTAATTTATACTGCTCTTTTTTCGGTATCGCTTTTGTGGCCTGTTTGACGAGGATTCCACTTTATTGGGCATTTCCAAGTCAGGATGGAGGATGAAGTAGTTTCTTGTTATTATAACGTTGTGTCCCAAGATGCCCACTAGGCTGAATGCTCGGACAAATAAAGTAACAATTATCTAAAGCAGGCCTGTAGGCCTGTACGGTTTCTTTTTTCATGTTTAACTAAATTAGTTCAATGCACAGTTCATAACAAAACTAATCCCAAAAAACGCTTATAACAAAAGACTTTTAAAACACAACAGCAGAAAAAAAGAAACACCGGCCTTTTTAAGCTTTTGTGTGTTTGGAGGGAACTATCACCAGGCTACAGGACTGTAGGGTTAATTGATTTATCTCAGTCTACAAATCTACAATTTTGAGTCTAAATCTAACTTACAGACATCCTTTCGATTTAAAGAGAAGTAATTTCTTTATTCAGGTAATCAGCACTCTTGATCAAAACATACAAGAAATGTGATGAAATGGCTTTGCTTTAATTTATTGTCATGACATTTATTTGACTTATGAAGAATTTATTGTCTGGATTACAGGGAAATGATAGTAATGATTTATAATCAGTGGTATTTAGTTTAATTCGAAATAACAATAAATTAGAAAAGGAATATTTTCTGTGGGAAAAGGCGCAAAATACAGCCGTATGTTAAGAACCTGTTTATAACACGGTGCTTCTTTGTTATAGGAAGTTCCAATTATTGCTGTTGGTATTGGAGAAAAAATTAAAAAAAGAAATCTCGTGATATTGGCCCGCAACAATGCAAACATGACCATCCAAGTGGATGATTTTGACGAATTGAAGAAGAAACTCGATGACATTGTTCAATTAACATGTTAAGGGTATGAAAGTACCTTTCGATTATGATATTTCACTGTAAACTTTATGCACTCCGTATACATTGCTTAGCTAGAAGTCCAACAAAAATCGCGGATAGGTTTGATTGAAGTCTATTATGACATTACTCTGTGTTGGTTGCGTAATAAATATGTCCAAATCATTGTTTCTGCATTTTGCTTTCCCTACAAATTCTTTCATGATGTTCTCTTATTTTCTTCATTTCTCCTTATCTTATTTTTGCAGGGTGATCAAGTAACATCTTGCTCCTCCGTCAACTGACATCAAAAGATAAGATTAGAACATTCATGTAATACTTGCCTGTCAGTAAACTAGTATAATATGATAATCTTAAAAGTGCTATTGCTTGATACGCGTTATCGCCAATAACGTATATCACACGGGCTACTAATACAATGAAAAGCACAAAATAAATATGAACAAAATAAATATGAATATACGTCTCTTCTATCTGTCTATGAATGGGACAAGGGACAAACCCTCGAGAACCTTTTAGGGTCCTAAGCTGACTACGTGCCTTTTAGGGTCAATTTTCGCGGAACAACGGAAACAAAATTGATGAAGTCAGTGTTAATAAAGAAATAGATTTTATTAACCTCAACAATCTATCGACATTGATTTTCTACAGTTTGTTAAACTTGAGCTTCTCCTTGTTTAACACGTCAACCAAAAGTGGTCGTACCTTTTAGGGTCTGGAATCGATGCCTGAATTAATTGATGCGTAGCTTGTAGGGTCATTTTTCAGTCTGTCCGTCGAGCATACCTATCATATATAGGGATTTTTTAATGATTTTTTAGCACATCAGGGTGGGAAATCTCATAGTTTCGCTGAAACGTTCTGACAGAGTAAGGGCTTTAAATCTAAAATAATTGCAGAATATGAGCGTCTTCAAATTTGAGGCTAAAAGAGTTGTCAAGAAAAAAATCATTCATTATTTGAAAGGGTAGTGTAATACCGGAATTCTTGTTATTCTATTAATCATTAATGTTGGTATTATTCTTAAACTTTAAGTTCAGTATGACACGAACTAATGCAATGGTGCGATAAAAATAAAACAACAGCTAGACATTTTATTTGTTAAAACATTCTTTTTATTTTTTTTTTAATTTTTTTGCTTTATATACATTACCTTGCAATTCTATATTTCATCTACGTAACTGATATTAATGTCATCAATTGAAATATTTTGATATTAAAATTAAAATTGCTTGCTATGTGGAGCCCTGGCAATTCACTGTGCTATGACTAGATATCGCTTCAATGTCTTATGACTTTCTTTTAATAAGGGTAATCAAAAAAAGAAGCCCCATCCCTTTTTCTTTTCTTGCTTTGGTGTTCGCGTCGAATTCCTCTTTTTCATTTTTTAGAGGTTTCTTTTTTTAAAATTTATATTACGTTAGACAGTCGATTTTCAGGGTGTGTCCTAGCCCTTCACTCAGCAGTTCGCCCGACCAGGCAAGTCTATAAAATCTTCGTACTAAGAGAGCACTAGAATATAAGACAAACATAAATATCAATGGTAACTTGCCTTTATCGTAACCTCCTATGACTGCATTGGCAGGAGCAGTTTTACCGCTACTTGCTTTCCACTCCAAATGAGATTTCCATCCAGGGTTTGTAAGAATCTGGTAATTGGAATTATAGTGCTCACGTCCTTCCCATGATGCATGTGCCAAACGGTTCGAAACATCCATTTTTCCAGGCGTTTGTTCATTATTAAATACGATACGGGCAACGTAAAGTACCTATATATAGAATGAAGATGTTGAATAGGCATCTTAGATAGAATCCCCCTCCCCTCAACCCCCAACAACACCACCACCCCTTCTTTGTGTCATGAACAAAGTGCTAATAAACTTACCTCGCCAGGATAATGAAATTGAATACATAATGAAGTGCCACCACATGCTCAGCTCTGTGCTTTTGGCTATTTTTCTGACTTATTGTCTAGTCTTCCTGCTGTCTCCTTCAAACATCTTTCAACTAAAAAACTACAGCACTCATGGACAAAAACCCAGCGATAGGGAAATCCTAGTTGTTTCTAAATTCAGAGATTTTAATATCTTCAAGTCGGTGCAGTGTTTCTTTGTTTATTTTTCCACGGGTAGCCCAAGCTCTTTACTTGATATAAGAGAATGTATGTGAATCTATGTAAACAGTTGATTTATGGCATAAATATACAATRAATTTCGCTATAACTTATTGTGTGCATTATTATAGCTACTGGTAATCTCTGGAGCGATTTTCAGAACTTTTATGAATTTTTTTCCCCTCTTACTATAATCTGTGACAGGGTAGGAATCGAAGCCCTCCATATCCACTTCGAACAGCTCTAAATTTGGTCGATTTTTTCGTCGAAATTCGACTCCTAAGGCAATGTGCCTTTGTACAGCTGTCAACTAATAACTTACCACTGCAGAAAYGCTGGTTTCATCGAGCCAGTTGATTTTCTTGAGCCATGAGCTCTCCTGAGGCAAGTAAAACCCGTGTCAAAACCGCCATTTTGCCACTGTGGCGGAGAAAGTACTGTACAAAAGCATGCAAAAATCCAACGTGCCAGGGAGGTCATGTCTACGAAATTAATTCAGTCTTTGTTTTTCTTCAACCATTCACAGGGTCCGAACGTGCCACATGGTCTTCGAATGTGTGCATGGAAAAGTCCGCATATCGCATTTACACTCCATGATGGCTTGTTCGCCGAAAAAGCGAAGGAAACACGATTCCGCTACCTCTTTTGCTTTAATTCGAGATTGTCCTTTACACAACTCATAAAGAAACCCAATGTTACTTGTGTCACTCTGTCTTATAGAAGGGAAGGYAGTAGGAATTCAATGATTGTAATAAAGTGTCACAAATATGAAATTTCACTTTTCAACTGCTCTAAGCGATATACAGACAGCTCCAACGCGCATTTTCTATTATATTCAGTTTGTTTGTGTGCTCTAGGGAAATATGTTAAGTCCAAACGACCTACCAAGCTCGAATTAAAGCAAAAGAGGTAGCGGAATCGTGTTTCCTTCGCTTTTTCGGCGAACAAGCCATCATGGAGTGTGAATTTCGTAAATGCGATATGCGGGCTTTTCCATCCACACATTCGAAGACCATGTGGCAYGTTCGAACCTGTGAATGGTTGAAGAAAAACAAAGACTGAATTAATTTCGTAGACATGACCTCCCTGGCACGTTGGATTTTTGCATGCTTTTGTACAGTACTTTCTCCGCCACAGTGGCAAAATGGCGGTTTTGACACGGGTTTTACTTGCCTCAGGAGAGCTCATGGCTCAAGAAAATCAACTGGCTCGATGAAACCAGCATTTCTGCAGTGGTAAGTTATTAGTTGACAGCTGTACAAAGGCACATTGCCTTAGGAGTCGAATTTCGACGAAAAAATCGACCAAATTTAGAGCTGTTCGAAGTGGATATGGAGGGCTTCGATTCCTACCCTGTCACAGATTATAGTAAGAGGGGAAAAAAATTCATAAAAGTTCTGAAAATCGCTCCAGAGATTACCAGTAGCTATAATAATGCACACAATAAGTTATAGCGAAATTTATTSTATATTTATGCCATAAATCAACTGTTTACATAGATTCACATACATTCTCTTATATCAAGTAAAGAGCTTGGGCTACCCGTGATTTTTCGAACAAAGACACTGAATTCTTCACTAACGATGCTTTCTCTGATAAACAATGGAAGACCGCGACGTGGAAGGATCATTTTCTTCTGTTATGGTGTGTGCAACAAAGCTTGAAGGACAACTGGAATGTTTCGACTTTGTCTGGACTTCCAAGTGCCCATCCAAAAACGGATTTTAAATGGCTAATTTGTTCATCAAATCCACACACAAAAATGTGTGTTCAAGTACGAATAGTCGATGACAAAATAAATAGCTATCGATCCGCGAAAAGGACGAAGCGAGTAAAATCAAGAACACAATACTACCCTAACAGCGTTGCTACTTTTCAACTTCTCATGTCTGCCGGTGATATCTCGCCCAACCCTGGCCCTACTTCCGCTTTAAAGGGATCCTCAGGTTCTTCTTAAGCTTAAGTTATATAATGTAAAAATTGCCGCTGATTCCGAATCTGGCGTTAAAAAWTTCMGAAAWTGATWTTTTCACCWTATTTTGAGCCGATTTTACTCCATTAAAATACGTTGACGGGGTTCCTGTGTTAACGTGACGTAGAGCGTGACGTCAAGTAGTGGTTGCGGATTCCGGAGCGATTATAGAATACCCGTTCACCCAAAAAAGCTGTATAACTTAGTGTAACCGCGGTCCGCAGTCGTAGTGAAATGAATAAGCATATAACTTAGTGTACCCGCGGTCGGTAGTCCCCGAAGTCTTTAAAGAACGAGATATATTCATAAGCATATAACTAAGTGTAACCGCGGTCCGCAGTCGGTAGTGAAATAAGTAAGCATATAACTAAGTGTAACCGCGGTCCGCAGTCGGTAGTGAAATAAGTAAGCATATAACTAAGTGTAACCGCGGTCCGCAGTCGGTAGTGAA